TAATATAGACTAGAGTGTAGGCGACCATCTGGAACTTCTTGATCTCCACGTCCTTCCATTCAGGCAGGGGCGGAATGAACTGGACCAAGTTGTGCTGCAGAACTCCGAGGCTGAAGGTGACGAGGATGTATTCCCCGATGTACCTCGTGCCGTCCTGGGTGGTCACGATAATTGATATGTCGTTGGTATAGTCAATGGATGCCACTGTCTTGCCCAGACGGGTGTGATTAGAATAAGCGGGCTCCTGCAAGAAGCCAGCGACTGCGCCAAAGATCTGCTTCAGGCCGCCTGCGTCCGTCATCCAGTACTCTTCGCCAATAAACTCGGTCTGCTTTGTGGAGGTTGTCTCCGGTGAGTCGCCGTATGTAATATCGAACTCAAACCACTCTACTGCTCTTTGGACATCCGTCTCCGGTATCCAGCCTCCTACGCGCAGGGCAGATCGCTGAGACATGTCTGGGATGTTGCCATTGGCTCTCATTTTATCCCGCAGCATTCCAAGCTTTTCCTTGGCTGGATCGATTGCATCATACTGGTTAAAGGCTTCTTCGGTAACGTCGACACCCGACTCGTTGCGAAATAGGAGACTGTCGTAGTCACTGGCCCTGTGGCTAAGGTTTAAGTCCCTCACTAGGTCAACCACGCGAGATACCTCGGGTAACGCCCACGTGGGGCCCAGCTCAACGGTCATATCGGCAAACTGGGTGTCGGCCACGCGGCCGCCCAGTCGGTTGGCTGCTTCGATGATGATGAAGTCGTCAATGCCGGCATCATGTAAGGTCCGGGCAGCCTGTAAGCCGGCAGCACCCCCGCCCAAGATCAAAACCCTGGCGTCGTTGTCGGAGTAGTCTGCTCCTTGAGTAGAATAGGATAGTACTCCAACGATTGCGACTATGAGCCACGACATATCTGGCATGGAGACCGCCATTGTGAGGGTTTTATCTGTGTGAAAGCGACGGCCTTTACCTCGTTGAAAATGGATAGGGTACTAGCTGTATAGAAAGACTCGTCCGTGGTGTATGTAGGTAGTTGTTGGCCTTGTTTGCGCCTAATTGCGTTTTTTGAAAGGAAAGAATTTTGAAGGTCGACGCCCACCTAAAGTTCCCAACACACTGAACTTACCGACACTTCATCTAAAGACCATGCAGAAATTGAAAAAAAGTTTCATTTAAATTTCATTTAGTATTTGGTACAACGTGTGTTCTGACACTGATACGTGGGATTTTCAACACATTTTGAATTATTCTCGACTTTTGTACCGACGCCCAACAATAGTTTAATCATCACTTTTAGGAAACACGACTGTAACGTCAGACGAGCATACCCAATAGGTTTGCTGGTTGATTAGGAAATCAATGAGACAGCTTCAGTCACAACCATTCATCAATATCGTTCGACGAGGTCAAATAACCTTAGCCGACCTTGACAGACTTCAGCTCAGCTGGACTGGGAAATGAATATAAATACCTTCTGCTTTCAAACCAGAAAATTAGATGTAAAAGTCCTTTTGTAAGCAAACCATTTTCGAAAACTTTTCTGGAACTTCCATAAGTGTTTTATTTCACTACTTGGTTTATTATTTTTATGTGAACTTAACTTTCTCTGAAGTTATGAATTCACAGAGTCAAACAAAATTTGCAATATTCACTGACACAAAAAATACACTTCTATAGCGAAAATTGTACAACGTCCAATGATGGTCAGACAAGCCTTACTTTTGCCGCTCCACAGAGGGCGTTGAGTATACAACTATGCTAACAAAGTGTGCGAAGAGACGGCTGAAAAAAAACAGGTTATGAAAACTGTATCCTTGCATGGATGCACAAAGTGTTTTGCAATCGTCAGGTGCAAATGTCAAATCCTTTCGGTTTATGGATTTACTGTTCTCTCTAGTGACTTATACCCTTTCAGACAGGCATTCTGGAGTGACACCGAACTAAAAAGAATAAAGAGCGACTCGAGTCGACCCAATTAACTTTTAGTTTCAGACAGACGAAATTAATAACATACATTTGCATTGGGTTCGGCTCGTGAGAGGAGCGATGTCTGAAACCAAGTTGCTCTGGTGTCGGTCCGTGCGCCTTAAGTGTCGATCTTTCGCCTGCTGGCGAGCCTGGTCGCTCCTAATTGCGCGTCCAACTTTTGCTGCTCTTGATTCACAATTTGATTTTAATATGGTTCAGCGCGACTCCAGAACGTCTGTCTGGAACGGGTGTTACAAAGAAAACAGATCATAGGTAAAATGATGCACACAAAAGCAAATATCTATTTACTAATAACTAAAGACGACCACACAAAATCGAACCCTGAATTTTTGAGGTTCGGTTTGCGTTGCAAGGGTGCGCTGTTCATTTCGCGCGTTCGTTGCCCCGTCCTTTATTATTTGTAATACAATACCCATTTTTTAAAACGACTTTTATTGCACGAAACTCCCTAATCCGTGACTATGAAGGATTTTTTTTAGGTAATAGCGAAGTCCGAAATTCAACAGGGGAAGCTAGTAAGAGGAATGAAGACTAGTCTCTACTCAAGACCGGCAATTAAACCACTTTCCCATAGGAAAGTACATACAAGGTGTTGTCCAAAAAGAAATCCTGGCCGATCGCCGGCTCCATGCAGACACGTAGCCCCTCACCAGCAAAGAAAATAACCGGCTGGCAACAAAGTACATGCATTTATTTGAACCCTGAAAGAATTTGCCAAAAGCTGACGATATATAACACGTCAATGCTTTCTTTTCTTCGCGTAAGCGATGTACTCACTGAAATACGCGTGTATTGTGATTGCCTGTAAGAGCCACTTGACTCCAAGAGGAGTTTCGGCCTACTTTTAACAAATGCACAAGACTTCTCTGCATTTGTGTCCCGTGATTATTATTCAAACGCCTGTCTTAAGTTTCACAAACTCATGTGAAGAACAACTGTACACTTGTACTGTCAAAGGGGCCAGGCTACTGGCTAATGACGACTCCGTTATTTACACAACTTCACAAGTTGGATGTAGGCCTCAGAAGATAGGTGTTACACAGTAAACACTAAAAGTCCCAGACGTTAGGTAATAAACTGAAAGTTAATCAAAATAAAACTTAACTCACCATAAATGGCTCTCTTAAGGTCTATCAATCACAGACATGATCTGGGAATCACATTATAACCAAACTCTGAATATACAACTTGGTTATTGATAAAGCATTTTCGTGGTGAAATTTACAAATCAGACACTGCTGACGGCTTGGCTGAGAAAACATGTTTACAATGCATCCTTGTACACACTGTGTATTAAAAGGCGCAGCTATCCAAATGCCCTGGGGATGAATTTGTGATAATTAGGCTGAACCTCCTAAATATGATGTAATCGTTTGCAGACATGTAATGCAAGATAAAACTATTAAAGTGTACCAGAAAAGAGATCATACTACATCTCCAATGGAGAGGTTTCTCTTAGGTGTTTGCCACTGTTAACGACTTCGTAGCTCTAGGAGGACTTCCTTTCTGCAGCGCTGCCAAAATTGACTGGCAAGATACTGTTACTCTTCTCTACCATCTCAAGGAGTAGAGGTCTTCACGTTGAACTTTCCAGGAGGTAGAAGGACGACTCTCGTCCTCGTGGTGAAAAGCTGGTTGGGAGTCAAGGGTTCAGGAGGGTCAGCAGAAGACAAATTACTATTGGTGAGTGGTTTCGAGTTGACAATGGACACCACTTCCGTCCGATGAGGGTTCTCAATGGTTTGTCATCTAGCTGGGTTTCTGCTAGCTTCAGCAGCAGGGTTAGAGCACTTCACACAGTTCTAATTTGCCTTTCCCAGGCACCACCGATATGACTGACATAAGGAGGGTTGAGTTTGAAGGAGATCCAGTCGCAGTCATTGTACAGTAGGTACTTCTGCACTTCATCCTTGTTCATTTCAGCCAGGGCGTCTCTCAGCTAATTCCGAGCGCCCACCAAATTGGTCCCTTGGTCTGAGCGACTCTGCCTCACAGGACCACGTCTGTTCAGAAATCTCTGTAGGGCATTAATGCATGCATTGGTGGTTAACGAGTTTGGTGTCTCGATGTGGATACTTCTTGAGGGCATACACGTAAATATGACACTATACCTCATAAACTCACTTCTCTTCTCCTTAACAAGGAATGGCCCAAAATAATCGACTGTTGAATATGTAAATGGTGGGGCTGTCTCGACTCTGTTTGCAGGAAAATCTGCCATTTTGTGCATCTGTAAAGTGCCTCTGTTTCTTTCGCAAACAACGCACTTGGAAATGTGCTGAGAGACTACAGAGGTTCCGCTGATCACCCAGTATCCTTTTTGGCGCAATTCATTATGAGTCATGCCTCTACCCATATGGCTCAACTTCTGATGCACATGTTGGATCAGCAAACCATGCTGACATGACTTCGATGTGGCAAGATAACAGGATTTCTGAGATCAGTAGGGAGATCTGCCTTGGTGATTCGACTACCGACACAGATGAGACCTTGCTCATTAAAAAAAACCGGTCTAGTCGGTACAAACAGCTGGTGTTTCTCACACTAACATTCTGGCAGTATGTCTATCCCTCAACTTCAATAACTTCAAGTTTCTGTTGTGCCTTCAACTCAGCACCGAAATGCTCATGCTGAAAGATTTTGAGTATCTCCGCAGCATGCATCTCTGCTACCGACATGGGCTGCTTTGGGGTGGGTAGTTGAGTATTTGCCTCCTGACTGCATTTCTGAATGACTTTGTTTCTCAACTTCTGCTTGAATCTTAAACAAAGAGCCACTGCTCTACGAGCAGTTCCATGATGACAGACCCGCTTGTCGACTTGTCTCAAAGTGGTTATGGATGTTGATCTTGTCGCATTCAGTATTCATTGCTAGGGATGACGCTTTTCTCACATTTGGATCAGACTCATTTAGTGCAACTTCTACCACTGGTGGGGGCTGGAATGGTCCATCTACTTTCAGGAACTCCGGATCAAGTAGCCACTGTGACTTTTCTGCCAGCTGCTTCACCGTCAGCCCGCGTGATGCTTATAGTCAGCGGGATTCTGTTTAGTGTCCACATACAGCCATTTCGTGAGATCAGTGAGGTTTCTGACTGGTTGCGCCCTGTTGGCAACATACACATGAAACTGTCTGGCTTCATTACGGATATAGCCCAGCACAATTTTCGTGTCAGTCCCAAAATTCCCTGATTTTTCATAGACCAGCTCTCTACGAAGAATTCGCTTATCATTGCTGACACAGCTGTCGCAGCAAGCTCTAGTCGGGGAATGGTTATAACCTTTAGTGGGGCCACTCTTGCCTTTCCTATGACGAAGGAGATATGTACTCTGTTATGATCATTGATGAATCGCAAGTATGAGCACTGGCCATATCCATCCTGGCTAGCGTCTCAGAAGTATTGAAGTTCAGTGACCTTCACAGCTCCAACGTTCTTTGGCTTGAAGCACCTCTTATTATCTATTTTGTCCAGGTTGAGGATTTCTAGACGCCACCTTTCCCACTCAGACTGAAGCTGGTCTGGTACTGGACTATCCCAGTGCAGCTTGTCTTTGCACATTTGTGCAAAATTTTCTTTCCTTGTAGAATCACTGGTGCCACGAAGCCATTCGGATCGTAAACAGAACTTACTGTTGACAAGATCCCACGTCTAGTCAAAGGTTTATTTTTCATTTCTATGCGATATTGGACAATATCACTTTCCACGCACCAACTAACACCCAAAGCCCTTTCCATGGGCATCATGTCTACTGTTTGGTCAATCGCCCCAGCGCCTCCTGCTCTTTCCTCTGCTGGGAATGCTTCCAGGAGTTCCCTCTTGTTGGAGGCAGGTTTATGCAACTTCAACCCAGCTTTGGCGCGCAGCCCTTGATTTGCTTTGATAAGGTTGGATACTTCTTTAACTGCGGGGACTGACCTCAATCCAACATCGACACAGGAGTCGTTTCTGATAACTACAGCAACATCGGCACCAAATTCCTTCTCACCATCATCCGCAGCTTTTCTCAGGCCAAAGTTCGCGC